ACAGCAAATGATTGAGATTTACATAGGTGAAAATGCAAGGAGTCTTACACAAGCTAAAACACCAAATTTCTATGCCTGTAGAATGGAGCACTTGACAACCACATCATGGAGTGATAAACAGCAAGGCTGCTATTTCAAAAATCTACATTAAACATAGGTGTTTTGACTCTACAAACTAAATAGCACCATGAAACAAAATTGTGGGTGTTTACTTTGGCAACTGCCCATAGCACACATCATGAAAAACACAAATCCTATTATAATCAAAAGCACTAAACTACAAGTTTATAGCAGCACACAAAACCAAGCATGGGGGCCAATAGGCCACTTGCATTGCAACGAGAATCGGTAATAGTTTTGTGCCACTTGACCACCTGCCCTAGATACTCTATATAAATTATATTTTTTCTCATGTTGTGTACTTGAAGGTTATTCATGGGTCAACATTGTATCAATAAAGACTAAGTGTATATACCTATTGCTGATAAAACTTTTACAGTCTTTGTCACAAGTTATGTAATTTCACTTTTTTGTAAGACATGACAAGGTGTTTGAAACAGTAATCTTTAAAGAGAATTTTTTGGGACCGAACAGACTTTTGGATAATGATGGCTAATGTCCTCAAAATGAGAATGAGCTTTCGGTAAAAAACATTTATAAATACAATTCTAAATGAGAAATATGACTTGAATGAAAATTTCAGAAGTAAATAACACATTTGTTTAGTAAGTATTTATTATGTGGTTGCACTGAGTGTCGTCATTATAGTTGAAATTTAAATATTTTTGTCCATTTGTGACTTTGTACAGAATGTCACACCAGTTATAAAATGTAATTTTATTTTAGGAAGACAATAGTTTTTTATGCACAGAAATGATCTATCATATATTGCATTACATTTATCAACACTTTTTTTTGTTTTTCACCATACTATGTAGTAAGCAACAGCTTACACTAATAAATGCCACTGGTGAGAGAATTCACAAGTCATGTGCCAAGAAGGCTACCTGCTTACTATGAGGTAATATTAAGAGTACACTCTCATACTGAGGCTTCCTCTATCACTGTAATACTGCGGTTGTTGCCTGATCTAATGTGTGCCCTTTGGTTGTTCATGCTGGAAGCCTCCTGACTGGCAGACATTGTACTTCCCATTTCCAGGACTCAAGTCTGGTTATATAAAATAACCGGTTTCCCTGAATCCCTTCACTAAATATTACCCTGTTTACACTCCTACAGCTTGTCAGGTCCCAAATACCATTTATCTCCATTCACTCCTATCTGACATGCTCACACACACTTGCTGGAAGTCCAAGCCCCTCACCCACAACACTTCCTTTACCCCCTCCCTCCTAGCCTTTTCGAAGGACGACCCCTACCCCGCCTTCCTTCCCCTACAGATTTATACGCTCTCCATGTCATTCTACTTTGATCCATTCTCTCTAAATGACCAAATCACCTCAACAAACCCTCTTCAGCCCTCTGACTAATACTTTTATTAACTCCACACCTCCTAATTTCCACACTCCAAATTTTCTGCATAATACAGTGGACCCCCGGTTTACGATATTATTTAAGAACATAAGAACATAAGAATGTAGGAACACTGCAGAAGGCCTACTGGCCCATGCGAGGCAGGTCCTTATCAAAACGACATCTACCTAAAGCTACTCAAGAAATAACTCCCATACCCAATAACACCATTCAAACCCAGCCCCTCCCACTCATATATTTGTCCAGTCTCTTCTTAAAGCTACCCAAGGTCCTAGCCTCTATCACCCCACTAGGAAGACTGTTCCACGCATCTACAACTCTGTTAGAAAACCAGTACTTACCTATGTCCTTTCTAAATCTAAATTTATCCAACTTAAATCCATTATTTCTGGTTCTTACCTGGTTCGACACCCTCAGTACTTTATTAATATCTCCCTTGTTTATGCCCGTCATCCACTTATACACTTCAATGATATCTCCCCTCATTCTACGCCTCTCCAGAGAGTGGAGATTTAAGGCTTTAAGTCTATCTTCATACGGGAGGTTCCTTACGCAGTAAATCATTTTAGTCATTCTTCTCTGTATGTTCTCTAAAGAGTCTATATCCATCCTGTAGTAAGGGGACCAAAACTGAGCAGCATAATCTAGATGAGGCCTCACTAGTGATGTATAGAGCTTCAAAATAACTTTTGGACTTCTGTTACTTATACTTCTTGAGATAAATCCAAGTAATCTGTTGGCCTTGTTGCGCACACTAAGGCACTGCTGTCTTGGCTTTAGATTTCTGCTCACCATGACTCCCAAGTCCTTTTCACATTCTGTATGATCAAGCTCTACTTCACCTAGATTATAGCTTCGAGGGTTATTTTCATTACCAAGGGCTAGTACCTTACACTTATCGACATTGAACTTCATCTGCCATCTTTCAGACCAGGACATTAATTTGTCCAAATCCTCCTGGAGTTCAATGCTATCCTCCTCAGAGTGAATAATACGGCCTATCTTTGTATCATCAGAAAACTTACTCATGTCACTCGTAATCCCTTCTTCAAGGTCATTAATGTAAATTATGAACAAGAGAGGGCCTAAAACTGATCCTTGTGGAATGCCACTAGTGACTAATCCCCATTCAGATTTCACTCCATTAATGGTAACTCTCTGCTTTCTATTGGTAAGCCATGCCTCAATCCATGCTAGCTGCCATGAGCTGCCACTTTTTTCAAGAGTCTCCTGTGAGGTACTCTATCAAAGGCTTTACTAAAATCCAAATAAACAATATCATATTCCTTGTCACTGTCAACTGCCTCAAATGTTCTATTGAAGAACGTCAGCAAGTTTGTCAGGCAGGAACGACCTCTCGTGAATCCATGCTGAGATTCATTTATCAAGTTATGCTGTTCAAGGTGACTTCTAATAATGTCAGCTATAATTGATTCCAATAACTTGCCCACTGTAGATGTCAGGCTTATTGGACGGTAATTTGAAGGAACGGACTTATCCCCTGATTTGAATATAGGAACCACATTAGCCATCTTCCACAACTCTGGCACAACACCGGTAAGGATGGACGCATTAAACACACTTGTTAATGGCTGACTAAGCTCCATCTTGCATTCCTTAAGTATCCTGGAAAACAACTCATCGGGTCCCGGGGACTTATTTGCTTCAGTTTGTCTATCTGTTTAATAACCATGTCTCTTGTGACAGTAATATTAGTTAATTTAAATTCATCATTAACTAAATAATTGTTAATTACTGGAATCTCATTTACATCTTCCTGTGTAAAAACTGACAAAAAATAGTCATTAAATAAGGAACACATTTCCATTTCGTTATCTGTCAGCTGTCCATTCCCAATTTTCAGAGGTCCCACTTTTTCCTTCACCTTCGTCCTATACACTTGAAAGAACCCCTTTGGATTAGTCTTTGATTCACTAGCAACTCTAATTTCATAGTCACGTTTAGCCTTTGTAATCCCCTTTTTTACTTCTCTTTTAAGTTGAACATACTGGTCAGTAAGGTCAACCTCTCCTCTTCTGATGCACCTATAAATTCCCCTTTTCTCCCCTAATAGATGCTTTAACCTACTGTTAACCCATTTGGGATCGTTATTATTAGACCTAATATCTCTCGGGGGAATGTATATACTCTGGGCATGATGTATATTATTAAGAAAAAAATCATAAAAGCAGATCCCTTCATAAACATAAGTATGATCATCGCCAATAAAATCATTAGCTAGATAACTCCAATCAAGATTAGACAGATGTTCCCTAAGTCCATTATAATCGGCAGAACGGAAATCAGGGATTTTTACTATATTATCATTATTCTTGCATTCCCAGTTAATGCTAAAAGTGATGGATTTGTGATCACTTGCGCCAAGCTCTTCAGTGATCTCCAGATTATTCACGAGTGTTTCCTTATTTGACAAGACTAGGTCTAGCAAATTATCACCCCTGGTAGGCTCTGTCACGCTCTGCTTCAGAAAACAGTCCTGAACTGTTTCCATAAAGTCACTGGACTCTAGATTACCTGTCAAAGAATTCAAGTCAATTTGCTAAAGTTAAAGTCCCCTACTATGACTACGTTACTTTTGTCCAGAAGCCCTAACAATTTCGTCCCAAAGAAGTCTCCCTCTATCGTGATCCAAGCCTGGAGGTCGGTATATTACACCTAGAATTAGTTTTTCTTGACCCTCCACAAACTCTACCCAAACAGACTCTGTTACTGCTCCATCTATTTTTATACCTTTTTTTATGCAACAATTAATATTTTCTCGAACATACAATGCAACTCCTCCCCCCTTCCCATTACATCTATCCACATTGAACGACTTAAATCCCTGAATATTACACTCAGCAGTCATATCCCGACTCTTTAAATCATACCACGTTTCAGTTAATGCAATGATATCAAAGTTCCCAGCACATGCTACCAAATGTAGTTCATTAATTTTATTTCTTGCACTTCGACTGTTAGCATAAAATACCATCATATGTTTTTTCTCCTGCACATTTTTCCTATTGATCTTTGTTTTTACACAATTTCTGAAATTATCATTACCCAGAGTTACTCCATGACAGTTACTATTAAGATTTCATTCCAGAAGTATGTTCAGGTGCCAGTACTGACCGAATTTGTTCCCATAAGGAATATTGTGAATTAGATTAGTCCATTTCAGACCCCCAAACATACACATACAAATGCACTTACATAAATACACTTACATAACTGGTCGCATTGGGAGCTGATCGTAAACCGGGGGTCCACTGTATTTGCACCACACATTGCCCTTAGACAGGACATCTCCACTGCCTCCAACCGCCTCCTCGCTGCAGCATTTACAACCAAAGCTTCACACCCATATAAAAGTATTGGTACTACATATTAACATATTGTCGGTAATTCTACCAACGTTAATACATTTTAGAATGAGCTTTAAACATTTGCTGATTTGCAGGTGTGCCTTAATGTTAACACTGGATATTGTATTTTTATTTCAGACATTGATGAGTGTGAAGCTATCCCTGGGCTGTGTGAAGGAGGTATTTGTAAGAACAGTGTTGGGTCTTTCTCATGTGAATATCCTGAAGGCCAGACCAGGAATCCAGAGACAAATGCCTGTGAAGACCGAAATGAATGCAAGGATGCTGATATATGTCTTAATGGAAACTGTATTAACACTGATGGTAGCTTCTATTGTACCTGTAAAACTGGTTTCATTCCTAGCCAGGATTATACAAGGTGTATAGGTACTGTATTTAGATTTTTGTTATTTCCTAAATTTTTTGTCACAATTTATATTTTTCCAAATGTTTCCTTGTTCTCCCTAACATTTCCTTTGGTGAGATAAAAAAAAAGGTCTTCAGGCAGCCTTTATGATCACCAGGATCCTCAAGTCTGTTTTATATTCCTTATTCCATAGATAAACGTTTATTGAAAACAATATTAAACTGACATTTACATAACGGCCATTCTGCATTGTAACAAAGTTAAATGGTTTTATTTTTTATAGTTGCTCGGCAAAGCACCTGTTACACAGAGTTGCTAAGCAGTGGGCATTGCAGGAAACCTCTTCCTATTCCTCTCACTCAGCAAGCCTGCTGCTGTAGCAAGAACATGGGCAAAGCATGGGGAGAAGGACTCCGTGACTGTGAACCATGCCCACTCCGTAGTGAAGGTAAGTTTTATATAGATCAAGAATACTGTTTGGTATTTTAGTTTCAAAGTTAAGTTTCTATATTTAGCAAAAGTTGAAAGTCTGAACTGAATTTGTACAGGTATATGATTTAAAAAAATAATACAGTACTGGAATTTATGGGTACTAATTGCTATAAGACTCTTTGATTTTTTGCCAGAGCTTTACAAGAGGTTGTGTGTGGAATCAGCATACAGATATCCCCCAGTAGATGAATGCACACTAAATCCAAACTTGTGTGGTAAAGGCAGTCGATGTGTTGACACCCCTGATGCATATGTATGTCAGTGTTATGAAGGATTCATCCATAATGTTGTCAGTGACAAATGTGAAGGTATGTAAATGTTCTTTATCCTCCTGTCTGCTTATTAATCTGAATAATAGGATGACTTGGGGGAAGTATAAATCTTTAGTGGAGGGAGGGAAGGGTAGGCATTATCCTAGGAAAGGTTGGAGGGAAGGGGTAAAGGAGGTTTTGTATGTAAGGGGCTTGGACATCCAACAGGCATGATCAAGCATATTAGTAGATAGGAGTGTGTGGAAGCAAGTGGTTTTTATGACTTGACATGCTGTTGGAGTGTGAGCAAGATAACATTGTTGGAATGATTCAAGGTAAATGGTAACTGGGCTTAAATCCTAAAGGTGGGGAGTACAGTCTGAAGGAGAGGTGGGGATATTGTAGTTTGGGGGAGCATATTAGTTGCAATGTTAGCATGCACTTGGATGATAAGTAAAAACTGAAAATGCAGGTTAGCTTTACTTTTGTTTATTTGGAGTCAGAGATAGTTTGGTTAGTTCTGTAACATGATAGATAATGGGCCTAGCATGATACAAGGATGATATAGCCTAAAAATGTCTAGTGATATGATGGCACAAAACACAATTTTATGGCATGAGTGATATGGGATGAGGATGAACATGATGCACAATAAATTTGGTTATTTAAATAATAGCCCTCTATAAAGTTATATTACACATTTAACAGGCATACAGTAGTGATAAATTCAATAACCTAACCTAACTTAACAAAACCATTATACTAACTCAAAGGTATAATACTAATAAATTGATTCATAAAATGTATGCAATATCTGGGCATCCTTATTAACCCTTTGAGGGTCGACAGGCCCTCTCCAAAACTCGTTCTCAGGGTCGGCCAAATTTAAAAAAAAAAAAAAATTATTTTCTTTTATGAAAAGATAGAGAATCTTTTCCCGATCATAAAGACACCAAAAGTTTGAAATTTGATAGAAAACTTACGGAATTATGCTCTCGCAAAGTTAGCGGTCTCGGCGATGTTTACGCATCGGCGATTTTGCCCACTTTGAGCCCCATTTTCGGCCAATTTCACTGTACTAGTCGACAAAAAACATGAATATTTCGCTAGAACTCCATTTTTTCTATCGAATGGGTGCAAGAAACCACCCATTTATGAAATTCAACTATCCAGTACAGTGGTCAGAATTTAGCAATTTTGCCAATTTCACACAAATTTCAAAAGATGCCAATTCCGAATAGGGCCAGAATAAACAAGAAGACATTCCTGGCACTAAAATGACATTTCCTCTAGTCATTAGTCACGTCTCAAGGCCCCCCCTTATTTTCTTTTGCTTTCCACTTTGAATTTTTATTCTCGCAAAAAATATAAGATTTACTGTTATGCAGACTATTGCATTAGTGTACAAAATGGTATAAATATTATTGGTGCACTTGTGAAAGAAATTAGACTCACCAGTTGACGTGTATTGCACGCTTGACAGATTTGTTTCCCTTTGAAGTTTGGTAAAAATCGAACATTTTCTGAATTTGAGCTCAATTTAAAGGGGAAACCTTCATTTTTAAAACCAGTCAAAATCATCTCAATTTCTGTAATATGTCTTCCATTCATAAAATGAACCAAGAAAACTAGAATACAACAATAAATACCATACGAAAATACACTGCAAAGTCGCTGATTTATTCCAAAAAAAATGGTAAAAGTTTTTTTTTCTCATTATGCACTGTGTGCTGCAGGATTTTTTTTAGACTGTGGACACTGACCACATAGACCCATTCTTTCATATGAAGGCCTACCAGCTTACTCCCACTAGATTTGAGGGCGCTAGAATTTATGCGTACTAGTACGTCAAAAACCCCTACGCGTAAGACGTACTAGTACGACCAAAACCCTCAAAGGGTTAAAAGGTGTTTTGCCTGCACAAAACACTTTATCAATCTAAAGCAGAGGTATGGCGATAGAGATTTTCATATTAGAACCAGTGGAAGGAGTTGAACTATGCAGCAGTTGAAGATGTCATCACATGGGTAGAGCCTACTAGTGGAAGTAGGTCAGACCCATAAGGTGGACCATAGATTTAGCAAGGAATTCTTTGAGTATGAGAGAGATGCAGCAGTTGAAAGCATGGTCAGTGTGGTGGGGCCTACTAGTGGAGGTAGATCAGGCATATAGGATGAACCAGAGGTTTAACAGTAGGTTGTAGGTACTCTCAGTACCACTGGCTATGAGCTTAAAGTTTCTGTCCTCTTGCTTCTGTATTAAATAGACAAAGCCTGCTGCACAGGTGAAATGTCTTGATAAAATCCCCTGGTGTTGTACATTACAGGATTAAAAACACAGGTTAATTTTTATTTCCTTTTTGTTTAATGTTTTACTGCTTTTTGGGGCAAAGTACTTAGTGTGTGGTGATCACTCATGATGAGGGATGAGACACTGAAAAATTAAACAAAATGGATAAATTGATAAATGTACTAAGTATGCTCTTTGAAAGTTCTGTATTTTAAAAAGTATTTTTGAAATTCACATCATTTATTAGTTAAAAAATAGTATACAAAAACATTATCTTTCTCAGATGTTGATGAGTGTCAGCAAGGTGCATGTCGTGGTGGTCAATGCTACAATACCCAGGGCAGCTTTACTTGTAGCTGTCCCACAGGGTTTGACATCTCATCAGATGGTCTTTCTTGTACATATTGGTATCTGACATTTTATTAAGTTTACACAAGATACTTATTAGTTATAATTTAATCTACTTATATTCAATATCTTTTACAGTATCATGCAATACAATATTCTAGTGTACTGCTAATACTGCTAATATTCAAAATATGTTTAAGTTATAAAAATGTTTGGAGATGGCTTTATTTTATTTTCTATGTGAAGTAAAGTGTAATGAAGTTTTATTGCTTTATAATGTGTTTTTATGTTTATATGTATCTTTTAGATCACGATAAATGCAGCGAAACAGGTATGTGTGCTAATGGGATATGCACCAATATGGATGGTATTTAAATGTAGCTGTAACGCTGGCTTTATGCTCTCCCCATCGGGTTTTGCTTGCATAGGTATATGTATTTACTGTTTATCATTACAAATATTGGTTTTAAGCACATAAGTAAAAACTGCTGTGAAATTTATAGCAAGACATGAAAATTTTTGGCATCATTAGCTAACCCTGATGAGCATTACACAGAATTTGCATATGGCACTAGCATTCCAATCATATTTAATTTATCTTTCAGATATTGATGAATGCGAGGAGAACAGATTTATTTGTCTGTTCGGACGATGCGAAAACCTTGAGGGAAGGTACCAATGTGTATGTAGTAATGGCTATACACATGCCACTGATGGAAGTTTTTGCACTGACATAGATGAATGTAATGAGGCAGGCATGTGTGAACATGGTTCCTGTGTCAATATAGATGGGTCATTTAAGTGTGTGTGTCAACCTGGATATACATTGGCTCCCAGTGGGAAAAACATGAATAACAAAAAAGGGACCAAAACTCTGACTGGAACGATACACAATTCCCTCTTGACGATGTCTTTATTTCCTTAGAGAGAAGACCCATGAAGGGTTTCTTCATCTCCCTATCCCCCCTGATGTCTTCTTGATCGATCCACCTCTGTGTGGACTCTAACTCCTTTTCCTTCCAAGGGAAATTATTCTCAAACCTTCGGTGTCGCTATGGGCTCTCCTCTCTCTCCTGTTCTTGCTAATCTTTACATGGAATACTTCCCAGACTGTTCTTCTTCCTACCTCGATGTGCAACCTTCACTCTGGCTCCGCTATGTGGATGACATCTTTTGCACTGTGGCCTCATGACTCCAGTCTCTTCCAAATTTTTCTTGAAGCTCTTAATAATCTTGCCCCTTCCATTAAGTTTAAAGCTGAATGGGAATCTAATTCCTTACTTCCTTTCCTTGATGTCCATGTCCACCGCTCAGTTACAGGTTTTTCCTTTTCCATTTACCGTAAACCTATGCACAGTGGCATGTACATTCACTACTTTTCCTATCATGCTCCCCTGTCAAGAAAAGTGTTCTTATCTCCCTCTTTCTCCATGCCCTCCGCATCTGTGATCCTCAGTTCCTTCCAGCAGAAATTTCCCCTCTTCATAATTCGTTCTCCGTCTTGGCTACCTTCCCATTTCATAGACTCTGCCCTCTCACGTGCTAAACGCAATTTCTTCTCTCCCCAAAATCTCTACTCAGGGAACTCTTCTATCCTCTGCCTTCCCTACATTTTTCCCGGTTTTTTCTAATCTCAACAATTCTCTCCGTCCCTTAGACATCAAGCTTACCTTCCGCCAGACTAACACTCTTCGCACTAATCTCGTTCATACCTCTCCTCCCTCTACAGATGTTCCTGGTGTCTACTCTATTTCTTGCTCCCCTGTCCTCTTCAATACTTCGGAGAAATGGTCGATCTCTTTCTGACAGACTTTAGGGAGCACAAAAATAGTGTTAGGCTTGCCGACACTAACAATGCTCTTTTCTGTCACATCAGAGATCATAGCCATCCTATTGACTGGTCTTCTGCTAAAAACTGTCTTCCCCACTTCCAACTCGAACAGTCGCCGTCTAGTTGAATCCTCTCTAATACACAACTTTCCTTTATGAACCTTCCTGCTTTGTCTCCTGTAATCCTTCCCTCCCACTACATTGTAAAATGCTCAAACTTCAGACACCCGTGACTTACCTAATCCTCATTTTTTCTTTTTTTTTTTTCTTCTTCCTCTTCCCCTTTCCTCTCTCCTTTTCTCCTCTGGGGTTTTCTTTCTCTCTCCTGTCTCGTGTTTCTGTTCCCTTTTTCATTTATTTTATTTCACCACTTCCCCTTTCACGCACCTCTGTGCGCTTGCTTCCCTCTGTGGGTAAACTAGCTCTCTTGCAGTGCTCCCCTTCCTTTGTATTGACTGGCTCGTCACCTATTTCCCACTTCTACCAACTACCACTACTACTTACCTCTTTTTTCTTCTACTACAACTACTGATGAAATTAAGACACATGTGCGGCGTCTGGTTGTCTTTGTTGTGGACGTTTCGCCATCCAGTGGCTGGCTGGATGGCGAAGCATCTACGATGGGGATGCCCGGGTGTTGTGCATGTGTCTTAATTTCATCCTGTCGGTATTATATACAATTCTTGTACTACTACTACTTTTACTACTACTACCTCCACCTCTTCCTGCCTATATATAGCCGTCCTGCTCCACCTCTGTTAGTGTGACTTTGTCAGTGGTCCAAGTCGGACCGAAACGTCGTCGTAAGCTTCTCTCTTTTATGTGCGGGTTATTTGTGTATGGAAGAACATGCATTGGTATGTTATATTTTTAATTGTATGCTTGATATAGGTAGTTGACAAAATCTGATTACTACACATATATGCTTTTCAGAAAGAGAGGTATCATCATACCTAATGAAATCTAACTACAGGTGTATCTCTCTTTAAGGTGTTAGATTTTAGTGTGTCTCATTAATACAATGCTTTTCAGTTACATATTATGTTTATTATTAACCCTTAAATGGTCCAAACAGATCGACATTCAAATTCGTAGTGCTCCATAAGTAGATCTAACTTTTTTTTCATATTTTCAAATATAACAAAAAAAAAATATAGATAAAAGTTTTTTTTACACGTTTTCAAATGTAAAACAAAAAAGATCTACATTTTTTTACATACTTTCAGATGTTGAAAAAACGTATATATATGTTTGGACCGTTTAAGGGTTAAGATGCTGGAATTCAGCATCGTGTTTTGGTCAACAAATTTTTGCACTTTATAAACGATTGCATTCTCCGAACGTAACCTTCAATAGTAAGGGGAAAGGGTGTACAAGTCTGCGTCCCGTGGATGACTAATTCTGATGTATCATAAAAAAAAAAATAAAAAATTATGTTTCAATATTAACAAATTTTAAACTTATTCCAAAGTTTTAAATTTTTGATCAAATTCCCAAAGATCTAGATGATTTTGCATCAGGACTTGCAAGAATGGCTGTTCATCATATACGATGACTTCCAGGTGAAATGCCCTCCAGGTTTACATTAGGTGTGAATGTTGGTGACTGCCTGGAAGCTATATAATATTTATTTATACATACAAACATGCAGTGTGTTGTGCATGTATATATATTATATATTTTTTTTTCCAACAAGGGGCCCTTCCCACCGAAGCAGGTTACCCAAAAAAGAAAGAAAATCCCAAAAGAAAATACTTTCATCATCATTCAACACTTTCCCACCTCATACATTATCCTGCTATTTGCAGAGGGCCAAATACAACAGTTTAAAAGCATATACATATAAAAAAAACACATATCCCTCCAAACTGCCAATATCCCAAACCCTCCTTTAACCCTTGACTGTCGCAACCCCCAATCCTAAGGTGTCTCCTGGTGTGAAAATTTAAAAAAAAAAAATATTTTTTCTTATGAATGATAAGAATCTTTTCCCGATTGTAATGACACCCAAAAGCAAATTTAGGAAAACGATGAATTGCCTCGGAAGTTAGGACCTCAGCGCTATTACAAATCGGGGGGATTTCGCCCACTTGAGCCTATTTTCGGCTAATTCCATTTTCCAGTCGCCCCAAAAACCCTAATTATCTTTAGAATTCCATTTTTTCTATGAATTGAGTAAAAAGAAACTGCCCATTAAACCCAAATTTCAACTACCCAATAATTGTCAGGAAATTGCAATTGGCCAATTTCAGAAAGGACTAAAAAAAATTATGACAATTTCAAATAAGTCCAAATGAAAAATGCAGCCATCCTGGCTCTAAAAATAACTTTTCTCCATTTGTTCAAAGGGCCCCCTGATATTACTCTTGCTTTCTAATTTTGAATTTTTAATTCAAACAAAAAATAGAAGACTTACTAATTTTGCGATACTGCCATTTCTGTAATAATTGTATAAAAAACATCAACCCAAAAATTTAATGACTGCATATTAGAATGGCTAGTTGGACATTTATTGGACAATGACATCATTTGTTTACTTTTGAACATTGGCAAAAATCAAACATTTCCCCTACTTTGAGCTCCATTTCTAGGTTCTTTTTATAGTAAAATCAATCAAAATCACCTCTATTTCTATAATATGTTTTCCATTCTATCAAATGAGACCAAGAAAACGAGAATACAACCATAAGTACTATACGAAAATAGACCACAAAGTCGGCATTTTAATTAAAAAAAACGGAGGCCTGGTCACAGACCGGGCCGCGGGGGCGTTGACCCCCGGAACTCTCTCCAGGTAAACTCCAGGTAAACTGCGTGCTCCAGGATTTTTTTTATATGGTGCACACTGACCACACAGACCCATTCTCTCACATGTGGGCCTACCAGCTTTCTCCTGCTTGATTTGCAGCCGCTAGAATTGATGAGTATATATACGTCAAACGGTACCTCGTAAGACGTATATATACGGCCGCGACAGTCAAAGGGTTAAAGTGCAGGCATTGTAGTTCCAATTTCCAGGACTCAAGTCCGACTATATGAAAATAACCGGTTTCCCTGAATCCCTTCACTAAATATTACCCTGCTCACACTCCAACAGATCGTCAGGTCCCAAGTACCATTCGTCTCCATTCACTCCTATCTAACACACTCATGCACGCTTGCTGGAAGTCCAAGCCCCTCGCCCGCAAAACCTCCTTTACCCCCTCTCTCCAACCCTTTCGAGGACGACCCCTACCCTGCCTTCCTTCCCCTATAGATTTATATGCTTTCCATGTCATTCTACTTTGATCCATTCTCTCTAAATGACCAAACCACCTCAACAACCCCTCTTCTGCCCTCTGACTAATACTTTTATTAATTTCCACACTCCGAATTTTCTGCATAATATTTACACCACACATTGC